TTTTTCTGGATTCTTTGGTTGATATTCTGTCTCTATCTGCTAAAATAAACCTACCGTAAAAATTACAGACCCTTCATTTCTTTGTAAGTGGGCAAACTTACAAAATCAGCAGGGGATCAAATAAATATTTTCTAAATGTGTGTTACTGTTGAACTCTTATCCTAGTAATATGCCCAAAATTGAACTAGTCTTCGGCTAATTGTTAAGGTAACAAAATAAGCACCATTCACACTGCTTGAACTTTTTTTAAGCAGGGTAAAATAAATAACATTTATTAATTAAATACATTTATTGACAAAATCAAATAAAATAATTTTCTTGTGGCATAAATATGAAATATATATTTATAAACTTTATGCTTGGCTAAAGCATTTGCATTGGTGGAATGATTCAAATCACAGGAGAAAGTCAGGATCATACATTTTTAATTGGGGTTAGATATCTAGGTCGGACAGCCATCTTGTTACTTTTCATAAGAAATAAATTATTCAAACAAACCCTCGCCCTACCGACCCCACGTCCTCTAAGAACAGTTTTTTTTTTTAAAGAAATTATATTTGGTTTATAGGTCTATGAATTTGATAAAGGTCCTGTTAGATCTGGAAGATAAATCCTTGATTTTTAAGAAACATGTGAACAGGAATTTTTGGTAAATATACATTTGTGCATTAGTAATAACAACAACAATTGTCAGATGATTGATAGAATTAGGAATTCCCACCAAATAACTAGAATGAGAAGGCATATTTTTTGAGTAATGTTGAAAAATGTATTGAAGCATAAGTGACAAGGAAGGACTAAAAAATTCAAATTGAGTCAAGGCAAAGAAGTCAGACACAAGAACTGAAAACACAAGAAATTAAAATCAGTGTGAGTTGGGTGGGGGGTGCAGAGCACTTCTGTCTCCTGTTAGTAAAGTGACAGCAGCGCCAGGTCTGCAAAGCAAAGGAAAACCTGGTGTCAGAGGTCTGTTCAGACAATGGAACGTTCCCACACGTTATCTGCCAACACTTTCCTGTTTTTAGAAAGCAGCTAAGATTTACATTGGCTTGGCCATGTAGAGATCTGAACCGTCATGCACACCGTTAAAGATTTTTCTCTGCACTGGGCAAACAACAGAAGGTATTTTAGCACCGTATCTCTTGTGGTCATAACTTTTCAAGTTGACCTGTTCACAAAGATTTGTGTTTTTAACTTGTGTCGGGGTGCCATGTTTGTTTTTGTATTGCAAAAATCAGGTTTTGTTGACTCGGAAGCTCAGAGTCTGTGTATTTGGACTCATGGTGAGCATGAACCGAACAGCAGCTGGTGTAATGCCAGACATAATGTGCGCTTGTTCATTCAGCGCTGCGTATTCTTACTCATAATCCTTTTAGGCTTTTCTCTGCTGGAATTTCATTGAATTAGACTCAGATTAGAATTTAATGAATTAGAAAACTCATAACGAGTGAGTGCTGCAGCCACACGCACAAAACACCTGGATCTTCAGAAACAACTTTATTAGACTTTAGCAAACCGTTGATGGTGATCACTGATAATTAGGCTTAAATGCTAATACTTTTTAGAGCAAATAATTAATTCTAATTTAAATATTCTGTAATATGTAGTAAAAATGTAAAAAGTAATCAGTTTCTTTTCAATTCTTTTAGATCTGTCCTTTTGTTTCTGCCTTGCTCACTCTTTTTGTCTGTGTTTCTTGCAGTGCTGGTTTTTGTTAGAATTTCAGAACACCAGAAGCTATTTTTAGGATTGATAATTCCTATCTTGGTGTATCCTGAGTCTTTATTCCCCTGGGTCTGTCATCATCGTGTAATTCAGTCATCGGGAAGCTGTAGCTGTGATTGTGCACTTCTCTCAGTCCAGTCCTTCCTCAAGTCTTCCCGTCACACCGCAGCAGACTTCCAGTCTGTCCTGTGAGATTTTCCCACTGTCTCCGTCTTCCTCTGAAGACAAGATTTCACACTTACATCATTATCTGTTGTTGTCTCCACTCTGTCCTGGAAACTGATAGCGTATTCACACACCAAAACAGCAGTTACATTTTGTCCAGCATGCATGATTTATTCAGTCACAGATTATTAAATAAATATGAATTACTTTGAATCTACATGAAAGCCAGATGAGATAAAAACTTTGGTCAAAACTTCAGTTTTTTGTGTTTTTATTTCTTAGCTCACCAAAGCTGCTTTTATTTCATCCAAAATTTGTGAACTTTTCTGAACGTCTGTCGAAATTTATTTTTGCTGCTTTGTTTTTATTCGATTCCTTTTAAATGCATTTAAAACCCTGCAGCTACTCTGTTGTATTGTATTATCACTTTTCGCTGATAAAGCCAACTTTATGTTACAGAAATGTATCTTTCTGCCATGACAACAGCAGATTGGTACTAAATACCTCCATAAGGTTGACGTCATTTTCAACCTGTAGTCCATTTGTGGCTTTTATTTCATCCAAAATACATTGAAGACAGTAATAATGTAAAATTCTTAAAAGTCTAATATGCTGATTCAGTGCTCAAGAAATATTTTGTATTATTATCAATGCTGAAAACTGTTTTTGCTGCTTAATATTTTTGTGAAAACCATGATACATTAACATTCAAAATTTTGGGGTATGTATAGGGTTAAAAAATAAGTTTATTCTGTAAGGATGCATTCAGTTGTTTAAAAGTGACAGTAAAGGCATTTATAAAAGATTTCTGTTTCAAATAAATGCTGTCCTTTGAACTTCCCACCCTTAAAAAAATCCAGAAAAAATGTATCATATTAGAATAATTTCTGAAGGATCATGTGACACTGAGTAATGGCTGCTGAAAAGGCATAATTTACTTTTAAATATATATTAAAAAAGAAAACTGATATTTTTTCTAATAATTACACAATATTTTATAATATTACACAATATTAATGCAGCCTTGGTAAGCATGAGACAAAAACAGTAAAAACCTTAATTATTCAAAACTTTTGACCAGTATACTATGGTCACAGCACTGAAGGATTTTTCCTCTCTTTAGACCTTTGGAATGGCAGTGAAGACATCTGATGGGGTCAGTTAGTATTGCTATGTAAGGGTTGAGTGGAAAATGGAACAAAACAGAAATATCTTTTGTGTAAATAGCCAATGCAAGCATTATTTGAAGAGAACACTGACAAACTCGTTTGATTTTTCTTGTTGAATCATGACGTGTGTATTTTAGCCAAAACAAACTTAATTTCTTCAGAATATTGTTTTTATTATCAGTAAACAAAACATCAGTAAACATTTAAGATTTAATACATACAACACAGGTAAGAGACCACACAAGTGTTACCAATGTAGTCCAAAGGTGTGATTTAAAAACATATCCAAAATTATGTACACAAGAATATACAGGGATAGTACAAACAAGCGTAGAAAAAAATATCTACATTTATAAGAAGCCTTGGCACACGATGGCATGCAGCATTCACAAGTTTGTAAGTATAAAAAGTCCATGCAACCCTATTACAAATCTGTATTATTTTTTATATTAAAGATTTTAAAAACCTTTTTATGTACATAATGTTATAAATCTGAGCTAATGAGAGCTGATTTTACATCAGCACATTCTGAGACATGTTTAATGCATATGACCTCAGACTGTTCGGTTGGGTCTACTCAGGATAAAGGTGTTTTGTGTGTTTCTAAACTGGCACTAACTGGTCCATAATTACCTGAGTAAAGGTTTCGAGCCCTTCTGTGATCACCTTGCCCTTTATGTTGTACTGAATTGAACAAAATGATTTCAGTGAATGTTACAATACTTTTCATAACTCAACAAAAGACGGAGAAGAAACAGGAAATAGCTTCATTTACAGCCGGGCACATCGCCTAAACAAATCATTATGCCTGAAAAAAATAACACTGTCACTGCAGACTCAAACACTTTTTGCTGATTGCACAGTCAGCCAGGAATTATGATTAGGAAATATTACAGTACACAACAATGGACTGACAAATGTGTAGGAACATACATATGTATATAATAATATTAAAGCCCTCCACTGTAGGCTATATGGACGTTCAGTGCTAGTCACTACACTTTCACATGACAATCTGTACACAAGTGCTTGCAGTATGACACAAATACACAGCGCAAAACTAAACAGAGAACGTTCTTTTTATAGGAGCGAGGAATGCTGGATGACATGCTGAACTTGGTTCCTACAGGTGCCAAGCCCTTTTCCATGATGACAAAAATACTCTAATGAGAGGGGTGGGAGCTTGATCCCTAAAATTATGTTCATACCTACAGCCAACAGTTCAGCTTCCTACAAAAATGGATGATAAAAAAATAAATATATCTATACAAACGTATAAAACACAAAACAAAAAATGTGCAGGTTTGTGTCAGTTCTGCCATAAATATCCTCATCCCACATCCATCACGAAAAACCGACTATTAGACAAGTCCACTCAGCTTGAGCGAAACCAAACATTAGTATATGATTCATAAAAATGTATTCATAGGAAATAAAAAGTCCAAGAACAAACACTTCATTTTGAGAAAGGTAAAGCCCACAGCTGCCTGGCACGAGTAAATGGTGTCCTAAATTACTGCTGTTAAAGGGGTAGTTCACCCAAAAATGAAAATTTGATGTTTATCTGCCTATCCCCAGGGCATCCAAGATGTACGTGACTTTGTTTCTTCAGTAGAACACAAACGAAGATTTTTAACTCAAACCGTTGCAAGTCTGTCAGTCTTATAATGGGGTGAATGGGAATCACGGCTTTGAGAGTAAAAAAAAACATACACAAACAAAACCAAATTAAACCCTGCGGCTCGTGACGATACATTGATGTGTAAAGACACGAAACGATCGGTCTGTGAAAGAAACTGAACAGTATTTATATTGTTTTTACCTCTGATGCACTGCAATGTCTGAACTGTCCTGAGCCTCCTCGACGTGTCACACACCGGCTGTCGAGGACACGCTCAGGACAGTTCAGGACAGTGCTCTACTGAAGAAACAAAGTCACCTACATCTTGGATGCCCTGGGGGTAAGCAGATAAACATCAAATTTTCATTTTTGGGTGAACTATACCTTTAAGGTTTATTCAACTCTGGATGATTGTCTCAGTTAATACTGTGGAGCGTCAGGCTGATGATACAGACAGAGAGCAGCAGCGTGGGACTCTGTGCTGGTCGAATGCTGTCGTTAATAGGAGACGTGGTAGCAAAGATGGCATCAGTCTCATTTCGGGGGAGGGGCATGTTGCAGATGTTCCCCTCACAACAGGATGTGCACACCTGCATGTAGAAAAATAAACAATAATCAGAGATTAAGAAAGTGATCATTTACAAAAGTGTTAAATGAAAAACAATCACTCCGGTAATAAGCTACTAAGCCTTGCACATGACAAGCGGGGAAAAACAAGATAATGTGGCCACAAATGAAAAGTATGTTGTAACAACTTATTAATTTGTTGCCGCAATTTAACTAAATTAAAACAAGGGGACGAATTAGTGCATATACTGGCCATGATTTAACTAAAACGAGGGAACAAAATAATAAAACATGGCCACAAATGAATATTTTTTATGAAAAAATTATCTATTTGTGTATATATTTCTTCTTCACTTCTTATATATTCTATACTTTCTTCAGTTTTGTCGACAAATTATTCACCTAATGCGTGAAGTCGTGGACACGCATCGCAGAGGTAGTGCAAGATGAGCATTTGTGGTTTAAAAGTATATACATTTTCTTTTTTTTCTTTTTTTTAGAAAATGACCGATTGTTTCGCTAGATAAGACCCTTATTCCTCGGTTGGGATCGTGTAGAGCACTTTGAAGCTGCATTAAAACTGCAATTAAATGATTTTCATTACTGTCCACCTCTGTCTATTTTTGGCCTAGTGCAAGATGAGCATTTGTGGTTTAAAAGTATATACATTTTCTTTTTTTTCTTTTTTTTAGAAAATGACCGATTCGCTAGATAAGACCCTTATTCCTCGGTTGGGATCGTGTAGAGCCCTTTGAAGCTGCACTGAAACTGCAATTTGGACCTTCAACCCGTTGGTCCCCATTTAAGTCCACTATATGAAGAAAAAAACTTTTTTTTCAGGAAATCATCAGGAAATTTTAATTCTGGAGTGAACTAATCAACTCAGTTGTGCGAAGAGGCCTTTGGAGATGGGACAAATTTGAATCTCAAATTTCTTAATTTACAGCACTCCTCAGAATTTTTTTTTTTTCTACAAAACAAAGTGTTTTGGGCTGAATCAGTTGCTGAAGTTTAATACCATACTTCAGATTAGGCCAGAATGTCAGTACAGTGCTGCACTGTAATAAAAGGCTCAACATCACCTGTCTGAACATAAACAGTAAACCGTCATTATTTAAAGTTTACCTACAGAGAAAAAAATCACTTCAGACAAACACAAATAAATTAAGCCTTTTTTAACCTAAGAATGAACCTTCGGCTTCTAATTTTAGTGTAAATTTGGACCTTCAACCCATTGGTCCCCATTTAAGTCCACTATATGAAGAAAAAATCTTTTTTTTCAGGAAATCATCAGGAAATTTTAATTCTGGAGTGAACTAATCAGTTGTGCGAAGAGGCCTTTGGAGATGGGACAAATTTGAATCTCAAATTTCTTAATTTACAGCACTCCTCAGAATTTTTTTTTTTTCTACAAAACAAAGTGTTTTGGGCTGAATCAGTTGCTGAAGTTTAATACCATACTTCAGATTAGGCCAGAATGTCAGTACAGTGCTGCACTGTAATAAAAGGCTCAACATCACCTGTCTGAACATAAACAGTAAACCGTCATTATTTAAAGTTTACCTACAGAGAAAAAAATCACTTCAGACAAACACAAATAAATTAAGCCTTTTTTAACCTAAGAATGAACCTTCGGCTTCTAATTTTAGTGTAGCTGTGGCATCTTTACACTGCATTTATCTCTCAATCTGGCCTTCTCACATCTGCCCCCTGCCCTCTGCATAACTCCTGTCCTGTGCTAGAGGTAAAAGGTAAGACACAAAGAGTTCAGGGAGTGACCGGGCGCACCTTTCAGCAAGGATTACTCAAAGAAGGATTACTGAGAGATGGCAGCATAACTCACAACTTTATCTCATCTGCAGCGAAATCACTTGAGAGGATAAATGGATTAACTAAAGAGCTGAGTTTAGTGTCGCTGACTGAGCCAAATCCTACAGGCAGCAGAGCCGATCAGAAATGTGTTCATCAACCACTCGACATGTTTTCTTTAAGATCACTTCAAGTGGACTGTGTGAATCTCATCTGCAGCGAAATCACTTGAGAGGATAAATGGATTAACTAAAGAGCTGAGTTTAGTGTCGCTGACTGAGCCATATCCTACAGGCTGTGTTTCTCAACCACTCGACGGGTTTTCTTTAAGATCACTTCAAGTGGACTTTTTAAAGTGAGATGAGAAGATAAACGTGGATGGATTTCAGCAGGGCGAGCAAAACACAAACTGGACATGTTTGGTCTGAAACAAAAGTTACTTGATGTGTGATGTGAGTTGCATCTCACCTTGTTTCCTTCATGGTCCATCTCAGAGCACCCTGTTTCAAAACAGTCTTCCAGCGCCACACAACGCTTTGTCACCGACACTGTGTTTCCATCCCAGCTCATCTTATGTTGTGTGTAGCAATATCTGCTCTCTAAAAGTTACAAAGGGGCTTTACTTACTTTTCTCAAGGACATACTATATACATCACAAAAGACAGCTTTAAATTCCGACTAATAAAGGAGTCAGATTTCAGTGAAAAAGCAATATTCCTCTAGGGATTTTTTTGTACCGGATATTGCAGAACTTGACCTCAGCCACTTTAAAAATATTTAATACCATTAAGTGTCCTTGAAGTGTGAGTCTTACAATAACACAATATTGCACCATATTTAAGAACTATGTGGAAACACTGAACACAACCATATTTGAGCATTCCTGGAAATACATACATTCCCTGCAAATGTGCAGATGATCTGCAGCAGCATGCGCTTTACTGAAGGAATGAGTGTCTGTATGGGGTTACAGCTCCTGAGTCATTAACACACTGCTGTAAATCAGACCCGACACAGCATAGGACTCCTTATATGGGAGGCTATTCATGGCAAAAACATGAACTGAATACATATATGGAGCAACCTGTGGGCAAAGCCGGACCTGAAACATACTGACCCAGCTGCATCTTATTCAATTATTCTCTGAGCATTCACTGAATGCACTTCAACAGCACTGTGCTGTGACTATTTAAATGCACCATCACCGATTGCCTTATTTAAAAAAAAAAAAGCCAGGGCTTTTTGGTTGTTGTTTCACAGAATGACAAAAATACTTTTGTTTCAAGATAAACAGTGCAAGACAGTGAAATTATGGGTCTGTCAAAGGAATTCAGACTGCTCTGTAATAAGAGAAACGTAATGGAGATGTTGGTACCTCGTGGACAGTAGAGATCTGCAGCCCAGCGGTTGCATTCATAGTTGTCAGGTGCATCTTCACAAGTAAAACATTTAAATCCTCCTGGATATGGAGTTGCTGGGGAAAGACGTATAATAATGTTAACAGAATGGAAATTATTGGTAATGGCAAAATTCGTGGTGAAACTGATAAACTTGCATAATTATTATGTGGAACAAAAGTTTTTTGTTGTTGTTATTGTTTGTTTTTGAAAGTCTCTTATTCTCACCAAGATGGCACATTTTATTTTATTAATTGTATTAATTCATTTTAAAAATATATTTTAAAAAATATATTTTATTTTAGTACATTATAAACAGTAATATAAAAAAATGAACTATTATTACAAATTAAAATTGAATTTTTTTATTATTATATTTTAAAATGTAATTTATTCCTGTGATAGCAAAGATGAATTTCAGAAGCTATTACTCTAGTCTTCAGAAATCATTCTTGAAATCATGATTAGGTGCGTAAAAAACATTTCCTATTATTTTCATTGTTGAAAACAGTTGTGCTGCTTTACATTTTTTGCGGATAGCGTAATACTTTTTTTAGATTATTTGATGAATAGAATGTTTAAAAGAACAGCACAGAATATTTTTTTCCTTTCAATTAATTGTGTTGGCATAATGTTAGAGTACATTAAGCTTCTTTCCCCCCCCCGAAAACATTCATTTGAAAAAGTAAGTAAAAACTATTGATTCTTGCAGTAAGAATATCAGTATAGTGATGCAAAAAATATTAGAAATAGAAAAAAATATTGTTTTTTTTTCTTTCTCTATGGCGCAAGTCAAACATTTTCATCTGACATTTTGATTCACACTCTGTGTTTACAGATTAAATGAAATTAAATGTATTGCATTTTTAAATAAATCACACTCAGAGAAATGTTTTATGTACCTATATCAATTTCATCATCAGGAACATCTGCCATACAGACCGAGACTAATCTAATCTAATCAAGTGCTCTTTCACCAGCATTTTGCTGTCATTTCTTAAGTGAAAAAAAGCTCTTGGGAATACAGTGTGCTTTTTCTCTTTCTGGAGCTCCTCAATCAGATTATACAGCTCACATGAAACAGAAACATCAGCCTCTTTTTTGTTTTAAAGTTTTAAGAAGAAAAAGCTCTTGTTGACCTCACCCAGCAAACATTTAAGAATCTGATCAAGTGACCATTTTAAACCGACCATTCATTCATCCGGACAGCCCTGATGTGTTATTACTTCTGAAGTCTCTAAATAGCTCTGTATATGCAAACAAAGCTTAGTAGTTATTATTTTTGACCTACACTTTTACTGTTAACGCCCCCAAATTCTTGTGACTCTTATGAAAGTGGTAACTCAATAATTAATACAATGATACAACTGACTATAACCTCTCTTAGATACAGCACAGACTTACAGAGGTGAGAGAAACATTTTAGTTAAAACAACAGCAAAACATTAAGTCAGAGACACATTTACAACCATCGGGTGTCTATGTCATTATAAAATTATACATTTTCCCCCCAGCTAATTCAATATGCATGTATTGTATGGGTGTTTGTTTAATTTTTGATGTCAACAAAGAAGTAAACAAAACAATTTGTAACATAATCCATTGCAAACATGCTTTTGAGTTTTTCAGCTTTTATAATGAGCTGATTTTTGATAGTCACCAGCGTTTTGTTGTGCATGTAAACACTCATTGTAAAGTAGTCTTAACTACACTAAGTAGCTGGAGTGTTTTGTTTTCTGAATGATCTCATGGGGTTGTAAATCCACACTTGCCATCTGCAGTGATGAAACAAAATGAACTCCATCATCATAATAAACCCTCTACATCAATATGCAACAGCTGGATATCAGCAGGTCCAGCCTGGTCTCATGTTTATACGTAGGTATTAATACGTAACATTTACAATCACAAAACGTACACTTTTGTACGTTTTTATTAATGCTAAAACGTACAATTTAGGCGTATTTCAACGTTTAAAACGTACAAATCGCTACGTATTTTTAGCTAAAAAACGTAAAAATATTTACGTATCTTTTATATCATTAAGATTTTCGTATCAATGCATTTTTATCATTTTATCATTAAGCGATTTAGATTTTTAGACCCCTTAACCTACCCCCAACCCTTAACCTACTCATTTTTATAGCGAATATGCATTTTTATCATTTTATTAATACGCAATTTAGATTTTTAGACCCCTTAACCTACCCCCAAACCTTAACCTACCCATATAGCGAATATAAAAGGATATAAAACACAAATGACCGAAATACGCAGGAAAATAACCATTTTAGTAACAATATAGCATTAAAATATTTTTATAGTCGCTAATTCCACTCCTACTTATAAA